AGTCCCGAGATGACTTGCCAAGAGTCCCTTTCTCTTCACAGTTCGTCCATGTGTTGCATTGTCTTATCCCATCAATCTAGTCAGTTCAATCCTTTTTGTGCAACTACAGAAATTATAATTAAGCCTATCTTTATCCTGTTATATTAGGGTTGCCAAGTATTTGTGGTTAAAATCCGGGAGAAAATAAATTTTTCCCTAAAAATACTGGGATGCTTCCATTCGGGGACATGCAATACTTGTGTATGTTTCTCTTGTGGTAACATAAATACATAGAAAATGTGGAAGAAGAAAAACATACTTTATTGTAGAAACAGTTTTTGGAATAAAGGACTTTTGTCGCTAGGCAGTCAGGAAAAATCTGGAAGAATTCCGGAAAACTGGAACATTCATTAACTCTACACTATATCCAATTAGTTTTTAATAAAATTTTACATCAGTTAATAGTGTAATTTGTAATTCTTATTGACGAGATGAGTAAAACAGACATTTCTCCCCAAAATTCATAGTATTGTACAGCTCCCGAGTGCAGAAAACAAAAACAAAACATGTTATTTCGATTGTCGAAATGTGGACCAACAAACAAATGTACAAAAGTCTGATTTCGTAAATATATTGTGTACAAGTAACCTGATGTAAATATATTCTAAAAAACAATTTATTAAACTAAACCCAAATTTTAGATTTAGTTTTAAGGCACTAAAACTGTGCTAGTGGTGGAAACACAACACACAAGCAATCTGTCAAGGTATAGGAAAACTTTCAATAAGGAAATAGTCCTACTTAGTCTAAGTGGTTAAGGTGAAAGTCTGCCCTGCTGATGGACTCAGGGTTAAATCCAAATGGGTCAAAAAGCCGTAGGAATTTTTCAGGTGGTAGTCCATTCAGATATGTGGGCCTGCGGCCACCCCATTGTGGATCTGGCCGAACGCATAATCAGCATGCTAAAAGAGATCCTCTTGGCGCCCAAATGGCAGAAAAAAAATTAAAAAAAAATTGTTAAACATATAAAAAAATCACGGAAAATTCCACGTTACCAGCTCCTTTGGACAGGAGAGAACCTAAATTACAAAGTAGGACACTTTGTCATCGACAACAAACTCTCAATGTACCAGGCCTTTCAAATCAAACAAGCCACAAGCATTGCTTTCCTCTAGGTATATGGAGAGGAAATTTTGAGAATGAAACTAATTTGCATGTCAATTTCTTCTGTGCGCCATAAAAGAGACACTGAATTAGTTTCATCCCTGGTAACCACTCTGCTTAGGATATCTGGAATTTTATTAACTGTGGCAATCAGTTTTCTACTGATGAGTACGTCATCTTTACTTTCTTCATCTCTTAAACATTTATAAAACTGGAAGAATTATCGAATGAAATCCAACCGGTGTGGTAAGTGTTGTCAGCACGAGTTTGTTGACTGAAAAATTAGTTCCAAAAATCACCGATAAGTGGTGTTGAAATACAAACGACAATGACTTCGAATATGATTATTAGACAGATGTTCGACATGGCCACTAAGTATAACGCGATTTAGTCGAGTAGCAATGCCCACACCTGCATAGTGCAGCAGGTGTGCATGGATATTACCTCATGTCGAACAACATTTCTTCATTTTCAACAATGTGGAAGGACATGATCGAAACACTCGGAAATTTAAATACCCCACAATGAAAAGTAACTTTCATTGTCATGTGCACTTCTATTTGTCTTGTCGGGCATGAGTTTCTAGACTATATCGCTCCATAGTAGTGTGACATAATTACGTAATAGTAGTTGTATGTGTTTATATGGTAGTTACGCGGAAAATAGTGTCTTCCGCGAGGTTTTTTTTAAGGGTAACTGGCCCATAGTCAGAAGTTACAAACATGGAGAACACCCGGAAAACTCCACATGGCCAGCCGTCCAGACGAGGCGCGAACCCACCAACTATTCAAGACCAGGGCTTCAAGGACCGGAACCGCTTGGCCACTGGTGGATAGTTTGTATTTGTTATCTTTTGTATGTCAACACAACTTATCGGTAACTCCTGTAACTAATTTTTTACTATTAACCAAAACCCTTCCACAATGCCAATACTTATCATTCAAACTGCATTTCATTCAGACAAATCTTCCGCTTTCTATGAATGTTTAAACTTTTTACGAACTTTTTGTCCACCCTGTCTTTATGGGCGATCTCTCCCTCATATATCGGACCATGGGTATGGGAAAAAAAGGATCCTCTGAGTGCCCACAGGTACCAAAAGTAAGATATATATATATATGTATGTATGTATATATCTTAGAAAAATATTAAAATTTTCACAATCGAGTAAATTTCTTATGAAATTGATATTTGATACCTTGTAACTTGAAACTTAAAAACTAATAAATTATTTTCAATATTTCGAAGTATTAGGTGGAAAACGTGTTCTATAAACACTATAAATTTAATTTTATTAATTTTTAATGAAGAAANATTGATATTTGATACCTTGTAACTTGAAACTTAAAAACTAATAAATTATTTTCAATATTTCGAAGTATTAGGTGGAAAACGTGTTCTATAAACACTATAAATTTAATTTTATTAATTTTTAATGAAGAAAATTGTATAAATATGCAAGAGTAGGACTTCAAAAGCGTAGATTTTGTAGAGAAACCTTTCTGATGTTTCTTCCATTTCGCGAATATGAAAGTAACAATCTCCATTTTATTCATGTTGCTTGTATTGCCAAGCAATATAGTCTTAAGTGAGTACAAATTTCTACTGTTTAAATACACGATTTTAAATATTTACTTATACAAAATAATTGGTTTTTTTTCAGTTGACGGACATAACTTTTACAGATATCTTCGTAATTGCGATCGATATTTCAATCACGTACACTGCAAACTATTATGTTTCGTTGAAGGATACCGTCGTGGAATCTGTATCAATGAATCAAGATTCAGTGCGAAAAGAAAATGTGTTTGTACTGGAAAGCTTCGTGAAAATTTTCAATGGTTAGCGTAAAATCATTAATTATTCGAAAAAAAGTGCATTTCATCAGATTCAGATTAAATGTCGTATTTGGAGATACAATAAATGTTATTTTTAAAGTTAATAAATTTAATTGTAAAATATAATTTTTGGTATGTTAAAATTCTTCTACGTTACGTTTCCCCCCAAAAAAACATTATTAATTTAAGCACAAATCACAGAATTTATTAATGATCCTTCAGAAACACAAACCTACCAGTAACCAAGAGGATAACACCGTTGAACATTGGTAGATGGTTGTGGATTGATCATGTCAATGGACACCTTATGTTTTCTAGTTTTCATTACGTTTGTAACATCTAAAGTCCTTCAGTAAGTCATCTCCCTTGGCAGATCGCCCAAGTGTGACGTTGTTGTATACGTACAAAAATACAAATACGCTCAATGTACTTGAAATACCTAACTACGATCTTTCTATATTCTTTCGTATCGAGAGGAATTCATTTCTGGAAGTGATAGATTGCCTTCTGAATCTAACATTTAGTTACTTAATTTAAGGAGGGATTTCCACGAAATATCGTAATAATTTAAACTCACGCGTAATATATGTAACCACCAAAACATGCGCTGACCTATGGAGGAATAGATTTAACCCTGCCGAAATCTGAGACTTGGTAGTGTGTTCTCGCCTGATCAGCGAGGTGAAAATTTTCTGGGTTATCTCCACGTGTTAAACCACAGTTACTCGTAAAAATTCACCCTGGAGGCACCTCTTTTTAGATGATACCAACAATATACTGCTTTACCTTACCCCATTAATTTCACCATATTTTTCTTTTATAATGACTATTTAGCCTTTTTATTAATATTTTTATTTTTTACTACAGAATAAATGTTCAGAGACTGGTAGCTATATCAATACATTCCGATTTCTGTATGTATACTGTATATATTATGCATTATTTTATTTTTACTTTTATTGTATATGACATAGAATGGTAGTTATACGTTATTACATTTTATCATGAAGTTTTATTCCCGTTTCAATTTTTTATTGTCATGTTAACACATTTAGGATAACAGACAATGCAATAGTTTTCTCCAAAAATGCATTTCTGGTGAGGACAGCAGTCTGCATCAGAGGAACATAGTGCACCACTGAAAAGTTAAGTTTTATATGCATAACTAGCAGATAAACCCGGCGTTGCTTGGGCAAAAAGTAACGATAGCGAAGTTTAAGATTATTACATTACAGCCAATCTTACCCGTTTTCACAGAATGCAAGAATTGGGTTCCCCTGTTTCCAGACTAATTAGGAAATTTTTAGATGGGTCTAATATTATGTTCGATTTACCGCAAAAATGCAAAAAAACTGCATCTGCGTCTGTAAATCTTACCCTTCGCTTTCTCTTAACACTTCCATTGTTTACACTTCCTCACGGAGGAAAGTGTTAACAACCTCACCCCCGCTGGTGGAATTTCGAAAAATCCCTTCTTACTGTATATTCTCGAGACGTACCCTATTAAAACGCAATCAAAAACGCAAAAAAATCGCATCTGCGCCTGCTAAACTTGCACATCGCTTTCCTTTAACACTTCATTGTTGACACTTCCATTGTTACTTAACACTTCCATTGTTAACACTTCCATTGTTAACACTTCCATTGTTACTTAACACTTCCATTGTTAACACTTCCATTGTTACTTAACACTTCCATTGTTAAAGCTTTTATCCTGTCTCTCTCCCCCCGGGGGAATTTCGAAAAATCCCTTCTTAGTGTGCGTTTTCATGACGAATCCTAATTGTGTACCAAATTTCAACTTTTAACTCTCAACCGGGCTCTGCGCTTATTATTATTAATATTATTATTATCATTATCAGCTCGTCTCGATTATACATATAGATTAGGTAAAGATAAAACCATTAAATTACATTATTTAAATTACGTAACAGAAACTTCGATCTTGCAGAACCCCTCGGCAGATCGCCAGATTGTTGCGTTACTGTATACAAACAAAAACAACCAAATGTACAGAACAGAATTTAACATCAATGTTTATTTATTCTTCAAATTTATAACACAAACATATCACTTTGGTCTCTTCAGGTCTCCGAAATATACATTTTCCATGTGTATAACCTGAAGCGATGCAATTACAGTTACACAGTATATTATTGAAATTACCTTCACAATCACGAAGTATTTTCGTACGTAGTGTTCTAGCACTTCCTATTTAAAGTTTATTTTTGATTAATGCAATTAGAAAAAATTAAGGAATAATAATGTAACATAACACTTACCAGGAATAAATTCGACTGTGAATAATATCAGTGCAAAAAGCAAAAATTTCTTGATATACGCCATATTGCAACACTGAATTCACCAATCTAGTAAAAGAAACAAGATATTTAAGTGTAAATAAATATGAAAATATGCATTTTAACATGGAAAATGGTAACATGAAAATATGGGAACTTTACACATGAAAAATTGTATTCTAAATAAAAGAATCGGTTCTAAAGCTAAGGTGGTTGTTATGTGTCAACAGAACTTAACACATTGCACCCTGAGGTAAGGACCTCAACATATTCTAGCATAGACATTTCTGAACCCATCAGGAATCATAACTGATGCTCAATAGCTATTTGATGGTCCTTTATTCCCACGTCCAATCGCTCGTATTTAATAATTAATGTTCAGGGCCTTCTTGAGGATTGAGTTGGGAATTTTTCTCCAACCCAGAGAAAAGTTAGGGATCGTAATGCGTTAATGGTTCCCACCCCTATAAAACGAATGTTACTTTTACTGCTTTAAGACTACTTTTTATTGATTAAAAAACATTTTACTCATTTCATTTGTCCAAAAATATGGAAAACAATGCCCTCTTTACCCAAAAACTCATACAAGAACTCTGGACTGCCTTAATATCTATGTATTTATTTTAATATTTTATTAATGAAATACACTCGTGTATTCTTCACTGAATAACTAAGAACTTAAAGTAAAAATGAAGCATTACTTACGTAGATACGAGTAAAAATTTGGAGAAATCCAAGTGCGAGCGATTAAATTACTACAAAATTAATGGTTAATCCCTGTGTNAGGAATAAATTCGACTGTGAATAATATCAGTGCAAAAAGCAAAAATTTCTTGATATACGCCATATTGCAACACTGAATTCACCAATCTAGTAAAAAAAAAAACAAGATATTTAAGTGTAAATAAATATGAAAATATGCATTTTAACATGGAAAATGGGAACATGAAAATATGGGAACTTTACACATCAAAAATTGTATTCTAAATAAAAGAATCGGATCTAAAGCTAAGGTGGTTGTTATGTGTCAACAGAACTTAACACCTTGCACCCTGAGGTAAGGACCACAACATATTCTAGCATAGAATTTTCTGAACCCATCAGGAATCATAACTGATGCTCAATAGCCACTTGATGGTCCTTTACTCCCACGTCCAATCGCTCGTATTTAGTAATTAATGTCCAGGCCTTCTTGAGGAATGAGATGGGAATTTTTCCCCAACCCAGAGAAAAGTTAGGGATCGTAATGAGTTAATAGTTCCCACCCCTATAAAACGAATGTTACTTTTACTAATTTAAGACTACTTTTTATTGATTAAGAAACATTTTACTCATTTCATTTGTCCAAAAATATGGCAAATAATGCCTTTTTTACCCAAAAACCCATACAAGAACTCTGGACTGCCTTAATATCTATGAATTTGTTTTAATATTTTATTAATGAAATACTCTCATGTATTCTTAACTGAATAACGAAGAACTTAAAGTAAAAATGAAGCATTACTTACATAGATACGACTAAAAATTTGGAGAAATCCAAAGGTGTGAGCGATTAAATTATTACAAAATTGATGGTTAATCCCTGCGTGTTGTTGTTATTTTATAAATTCTCCATTACCCGGAATAATTAGTTGCAGTAATTGAAAAAACATGACTCGACTAAATGGTATAATTGCGTTTAAATAATAGTTTATAATTAATTTTTTAAAATTATAAATGTTATTAACTTAATTTTTAATGGGAAAATTAATGAAATTACTGAAATTATTTCATTTTCATTTTGAAATCTTTATAAGTGATAATGAATTGTTTGTTTAAACAATTAATTTGACTTTGCTAAATTAGATTAGGCATTATAAAGCATAAAGTATGATGATATTTTCAAAATTATTTTGTAGATAATTCTGTTTAAACGTTCCTGAAAATAGGGTAGTTATTGGAGGATCGATCGTATAACCAGATTTTTGATTCTCCCCGAAGATTTTTCATCTTTGTTCTAAGGAGCCTTTAAAATGTCGTAAAATTCATAAAAATTACGGGGGTTTTCTATATGAATATTACTGTGTAGTTGCACGATTTTGTTCCTTCCTTTTGAAGCTTAATAACTCTTGTGCTTTTTGTCGAAATTTTGTGAAATTTTGCAGGAAGGTTGATTTGGGATTGATGATATTAAATTTTGGTGGTCAAAAATGGACGGAGTACGAAGATAGAAGGGAAAGTCGTGTGTCATATTTAGAGTAAGGTCGAACTTATTGAAGATTTTACCGGTTATTAGCATTTTCGATTTTTATAAAACTCATCCTACCCTCAAAATTAAGCTTTTTGTCATTTTATTATAATTCAAAATATAATAAGATTATTTTAGTAGAATATCATAATAGATTGCGCCACAGGGAGTTTTAAAAGTTGCCTGAAGTATTAAGCAACTCGTTGGCAAATTTCCTTTTTTTTATTAAATACTGTATTGCTATTTGTATATCGAGAATTACGTGTATCTTAAAACCAGAGCTATGGAGTCGGAGTCGGAGTCGGAGTCCTCAAAAAGCCTGCCGACTCCGAATCGTTTTTACTTATCAACTTGTTATGTATATAAAACGGAAAAGTATTGGAATCGTGTCAAATTTGATCCTTCAANATTGGTCTCAGTCCGCGTGTTTGCTTCGTCGTGGAAGGATCTCGCTAGATAAAGGAAATCTTGAGGTATTATGAGAAAGTGACTGATTTTATTGAAAAGAAACATCCCGACAAGGTTCACACTGGCCGTATTGCTGCTAGGAGTAATGACATTTGCCTAAGTCATTTTAGAAACATTTTAAAAAGTAGGCAAAGCCAAACCTCTTTGGATAGATATTTTACCAAGCCACCTCTATCCAGTGAAAGTGCTGGTGGAAGTGAAGAAAAGAAAGCAAAAAGCAGTGAATAAAAAATTAAAAAAAATATATATATATAAAACAGAAAAGATAAAAAAATTAGTGTTAGGTTATTTTTAAGTTATTGTTACATTATGTTATGTAAGTTAAGTTTTAGTATCATTTCCCTTCTCCCTCTCTTCCGCCACCAGTTTACACTTTCACCGTCTATCTAAAGTGCAAATAAAAGTACATTTTTTAAATCAATTATTATTCTATTATGGTTATTTATATATTTAGAACTACAAAACGTGTTTTTCAGTGTTTTCCATACTATACTTTTGTTTTTTTAATGTATTACTTAGCTTTAATTTAAGTGTGTTTTGGTGTTGAAACGAATTATTTGGTTTTACATGTAATCGTATGGGGAAAAATGATTCACCTTACGACATTTTCATGATACGATCTCAGTTTCGGAACGAATTAATTTCGTATCCTGAGGCACCACTGTAGTNTTGGTTTTACATGTAATCGTATGGGGAAAAATGATTCACCTTACGACATTTTCATGATACGATCTCAGTTTCGGAACGAATTAATTTCGTATCCTGAGGCACCACTGTAATTCAAAATATAATAAGGTTTTTTTTAGTAGAATATCATAATAGATTGCGCCACGGGGAGTTTTAAAAGTTGCCGGAAGTATTAAACAACTCGTTGCCAAATTTCCTTTTTTTTAATTAAATATTGTATTGCTATTTGTATATCGAGAATTACGTGTATCTTAAAACCAGAGCTATGGAATCGGAGTCGAAGTCGTCAAAAAATCTGCCGACTCCGAATCGTTTTTACTTACCAACTTGTTATGTATATAAAACGGAAAAGTATTGGAATCGTGTCAAATTTGACCCTCCAAGCTTTTTTTTCAAATCTACACGTTTGGAGACCTCCCGACCCCCTCAAAAAATCAATAAATTAGGGAAAATTCGCGCACGTGTCCAATTTGTTTAATTTCTTTATTTTCTGTTCTGGAATATTAAACAATATCTCAGAATGGGTAAAGTTTAAGAAACGAAATGTGGCACTGTGGCTTACATATAAAGGGGCATTAAGTAATACTATTAAATTTTGTTTCTTAATTAATGGTCGACATGGTAAAGACATAAAAGTGGTCATGTGTCATATCTCTTAATGAATATTTTACACGTTTTTAGCATTCAAAATTTTAAAAAATTAAAATAAAACTCGTCTCTACCCTCAAAGTAAGCTTTTTTCCCATTTTATAATAGTACAATAAAACCCGTTAAGATGTTCTCGCCTAAGATGTTAGAATGTGCTATATATGAGGACATGATTTAGTTCAACTACTTTGACGCTTAATAACAAACTCCTGTGTTAAACCATCTGACTCCGATTCTGACCACTCTGACCATAGAAATTATTAGGCTTTAAACAGGGTGAACAAAATCATGCCCCCCCCCACACACACACACAGTCTAACATCCACACATATAGAAAAAAAAACCTCGAATTTTTTGCATATCTGGAAATTTCAAGGTGTTCTGAGTCCAAAAATGTAAAAATTTGAGTGGGATTATTTATCGACAGAGGGCTACACTTTCCGTCTATTAGACATAACAGCCGGAAAAGTAAAAATTATCGAATACATATTTATATATTGACTGTGTCATTACTTAGAGAAGTCTTTTAGCTTTGGAATAAAAACTTTTTACGTTCTATCTTTATTAGAACTCTATTTATTGAATCTTTTATTCTGAGGTCACGTGATGACATAAGAATTTCTTGGTCTCTTTCGGTAACAATGTCGCCCCTGGTCATAGTCGAAGTCGGAGTGGGTGACGGTAGATTTTTACGCGACTCCACAGCCCTGCTTAAAACATAACGTTTTATTTAACTTACAACGTGGATAACATACCTATTGTTATATTTAAAAATTTTCAAAACGATAAACCAAATTAAATACTGTACAGTTGACGGTCGGATCACCAAACAGTCAAGGTTGCAGCCTACCGCTCTGGGGACACCAAAGATTGAATCCTGTAGGGTCGAAAAAGTCCCAGGAAATTTTCGGGGTGGTGTCCGCCAGAATATATCGAACCCCGTTCTCACCACACGGTTGTCCCATTGTGGGACTGGCCGAACCCATAATGGGCTTACTTAAAGAAACCCTCTCATTGCTTACAGGGCGGAAATATTTTAACTAAATTAAATGAATGTTTAACTAAATTAATACACCATAAAGGAGAACCCTCTGTTAGTTGCTAATTGGATTACAATTTTGAAATTGAAGATCTATAGATTTCGACTATTGTCCTTTTGTCAGCCGCCCCTTTAATCTCGACAAATGGAATTAGATAGAAGAAAATGGAGTCTAGTTATTGTAAGCTTAGAGCCATCATCCCCGATTAACAATATACGAACTTCCAGCACTTACATTTTATACCATAATAATAACAAATTTATGTCAGTCGTAGAGCAGGCATCTTCTTACTTTCTGGTGTAAAATTTTAGAAAAAAAACTTTTGGATACTTTTTCAAAGCCTGTCGGATAATCGAGGCGATGAAAACGTCAGTCTACTATTATGGGAATCCAGAATCAAATCCGGATTCAACATCAGAAAATTTTTAGTCTCTTTCAGATATGTCACGCATGTTCTAATCGTTGTCGTGTTCCACCTGGAAGCAAAAGAAGCAAGTTGCCCTGAATGCCGAAAAATTGAGGGCTTCAATACAATGTTTCTTTCGTTTATGTCCTCATTGTTATAAGACTCCGATATGTATTTTACTCAAGACACACGTTACTCTCTTCGCAGCACTGCCCTTTCCATCTGCTGGTCTTTTTGAGAATTTCGTCAAACTCAGAATGGTTCTAAGAAACAGACCGCCAGTGTCCGGGTGG